TTGTTGTAAACAAAAAGGATAAAGCGTCTGGACAGAAGGGTGAATTCGAATTTATTCAAGGAGTGATATTAATCTAGGTCCTTAGCAGAGGAGGCTCCTCAGAGGAGGACCATCCTCCTCAGTGATTTTTTAAATAAAAATACTGAAACATTTAAAAAGTCATCCTTTTTAGATTAAAACTATACAAAATATTCACGTCACCAAATAATTAATTAAAATACTGGTTTGCAATAAAGGTCTACAGTAGCCTCAACAGCACTCTGTAGGGTATCGCCATGGTGTAGCCGGAGAACAGCTAGCTTCTGTCCTCCCCTGGGTACATTGACTTCAATACAAAACCTAGGAGGCTCATGGTTCTCACCCCCTTCCATAGACTTACACAGTAATTATGACAACTTCCAGAGGACGTCCTCCAACCTATCAGAGCTCTTGCAGCATGAACTGACATGTTGTCCACCCAATCAAAAGATCAGAGAATGAATCTAGTACTGAAAGCATAAGCTACAGCTAGCTAGCGCTGCAGTGCATAAAATGTGGTGAGTAGTTGACTCAAAGACAGAGAAAGACAATCGTTGAACAGTTTTTAACAAATGATTTTCTTCAAAAATGAAGGAGGAGCAAGAGAGAGAGCTAGCTATATTTCGTCCTTTTTTTTCTCTTTCACTTACTTAGCTAGCAAACGCAGCTAGCTAGTTTAGCCTACTCAAACACCGGGCTCAAACAGAGGGATGCTATGTAAGCTAGCTGGCTATGACTATCCAACACTGGAACTCTTCCAAGTCAAGATAAGCTTTTGGTTTTACAAATGTATTGCCACCGGGGCCCGCCGGTGTAACTGCTAAACTGATTACAACACTGTACAGCATAATTATAGCGTGTTTACTAATGCGTTAGTTATATTAGCTATGTTGACTATGACGTTACTTTAGCTAATATGGTGAGCTAGTTGCGGTTATGATATGAAGGTTTGGCTTGGAAAGGTTTTTTCGCCTGGTCATACACAGCTTATATGTTGTGCATTGAAGTCCACAAGTGAAGGGAAAAGGTGAGAGGAGGAGAGCGCATAGATTAGAGAAGGAATACAACGAGCTGTTTGTATGTGGCTATGAAAGTCAACTGTTTGCGTGTGATCAGTGGTGTATTCATTCCACCGATTCGGTTGAAAAACTTTTCTTAAATGGTAGCAAATGGAACGAAATGTGGGATAAACATACCTGAATTTGTCCAATAGAAACTCTCGTTTGCAACTGTTTAATGATTTCACCCTAGATCAGCTAGATGCAGGCAAGAGTGTGCAAAGCGGTGATGAATGTTTCACTGTCTGTCCCCTCAAATCTTTCTCTCGATCTGTGTGCACCTACGTTGAATTCATAGGCTAGGTGTAGCAACCTCGTGATGGGTATAGGGAAAATTTGAGTATCACGTGGTAGCCTAAACCAACCTATCGATGTTAAGCTGGGTGAATGGAATATGAATGACAGTCATCCTTTATGCTGTAATAGAAATAAGGCCATGCTCATTAAAACATTTTTTATTTGTCCTCCCTCATCTTAAACGGCACCGACCGCCACTGGTCGTTCGTAAGCCAGCTAGCAAGCTAGCTAACTTAATTGACTAACGTAAGATAGCTAGCTAAGTATATCCATCAAGCTAGCTATAGAGATGAACTGCTATTCTAACTTGTGTCATTTGTTTAACTTCTCAGGTCTCGCATCCTGAAAAAAACTTGTGTTGGGAACTCAAATATGTTCCCTATGATGGAACCCCCTTCCTGGTTGTCGGTAGGAGAACCTACAGTATGCCTGCCACTAGGGCAAGGATAAACATGCGAGTGACAAGAAGAGGGAAACACAAATGGTAAGTTAGCTAATGTTTACAACGATGCACAATAAAGGTATTTGTATTTATTAAGGATCCCCATTAGCTGCTGCCAAGGCAGCAGCTACTCTTCCTGGGGTCCAGCAACATTAAGGAAGTGATATACAATTTAAAATATTACATGACATTACATTTCATAACACTTTACCCAATACATTTAGTGTGTTCCCTCAGGCCACTACTCTGCTATCACATATTTACAATACAACATCCATGTGTACGTGTGTGTAGAGTGCGTGTCTTATCATGTGTATGTGAGTCTGTGCCTGTGTGTGTCTCTTCACAGTCCCCGCTGTTCCACAAGGTGGATTTCTATCTGTTTTTTTAAATCTGATTCTACTGCTTGCATCAGTTACCTGATGTGGAATAGAGTTCCATGTAGTCATGGCTCTATGGAGTACTGTGCGCCTCCCATAGTCCATTCTGGACTTGGGGACTGTGAAGAGACCTCTGGTGGTTCTTGTGGAGTATGCATGGGTGTCCGAGCTGTGTGCCAGTAGCCACTGAACCATAGTGTAGGACCTGCCTTGTTGATAGTGTTGTTAAAAAGGCAGAGTAATGCTTTGTTATGGACAGACTTCACCCCATCTTAGCAACTGTTGTAGCTAAGGTGATTATGATTGACTGATTTTGGGAGGAGGGGATGTCTAACAGGAAGGGAGAAATGAGAGAAGGTGAGAGGTTGATAAGGGTATGTGTTAGAAAGGGACAACAGAAGACAACCACGAGATGCAGGACTCCTTGTTCCCCCAATATCTAAGAAAACAGATGGATACAGGGCTTTCTACTACAGAGCTCCTCTTTGATGTGACAGAATCATACTTGGTTTCAGTCTTGTAAGTTTAAGTAAGTGTGACAGAATCATACTTGGTTTCAGTCTTGTAAGTTAAGTAAGTAACCTTATGTAGCCAAGCCTTGGGAAAAATCATTGTCTGAATATGAACGACCCAAATGGGCATCAGCCTATCTCCTGTTTCTGTCACATAAGGCAGCTTGATGTACAAGTAGCCTATACCCCCTGGACAGGACGCTAGTTCCCTAATTCCTTAATGCTGAGAGCCAAGCAGAGAGGCATCAGGTCCCAAGGTAATGGACTGATGAACCATCCTTGCTGTCTCTGCTTGGTCGGCTCCCCACTATCAAATGGGATTCCATACCACTGACTCTATTACGGGGGCTGAGTCCCTGGCTTGTTGCACTCAGGGGTGGCGTTGGACAGGGGACCACATTGTCTCTCGATCCCCCAGTCCCAGTCTCCAGTGTTTATCTGATGTACCTAAGCATGCTCCCACTAACCCCCCTTCTTTTGTCCTGTTCTACTTCTGATAACTCCCGGACGTGCCTGGCCCAAGACTACCTGGACGTGCTGCTGATCCTGGACTGCGGCTGAGGACCCCTGGCCGTGCCTACCCCTAGCCCCTCCTCGCACCCCACAATACTGTAAATTCCATCTCACCCTCTTCCTCTCCTGTCTTAAGCCTAGTCCTGAACAAATAAACTATTTTATAAGACCGGGAAACCAGCCCATACTGTAGACAATGAGATTATTCCAGAATACTATCAAAGTAAAATATTGTTTTCGATGATTATCCAGGGTACAATTAACATTGCCATTCTACAATATGGCCTCTGACAAAGAAAACTCTTTCTCAAAATCCTATTGTATTTGTGGTGTGGTTTCTCTCACAGAACAGGAGGCTGAGGAGAAAAGCATTAGAACCCAGATGCTGGGAACAAGATAGGGCGGCAGGTAGCTTAGTGGTTAAGAGCATTGTGCCAGTAACCAAAAGGTCGCTGGTTCTAATCCCTGAGCCGACTAGGTGAAAAATCTGTCGATGTGCCCTTGAGCAAGGCACTTAACCCTAATTGCTCCTGTAAGTCACTTTGGATAAGAACGTCAGCTAAATGATAAAAAAGGAACATCAGTGGGAGTTAACAATACAACATCCGTGTGTGTAGAGTGCGTGTCTTATCGTGAGTATACACATAGTATATACATAACACATCCTAACATACAAAACACCACACTAAAAACATATCTAGGACTACACACTAACCAATTGGTAGTGGGTTCGATCCCCGGGACCACCCATACGTAAAAATGTATGGGCACATGACTTTGGATAAAAGCGTCTGCTAAATGGCATATTATTATTATTACAAACGGGTTAGGGTTGCATCAGCCATTATCATACTTACGCCTATCCAAACATCTCCACAAGTGCATAGGGGGTAGGTCTAACATCCATCCACAGACACTATTTTTTACGCTTCAGGAGAAGAGAAAGGAGAGAAAATGAATGGGAGTGGAAAGGAAGGGAGGAGAGGAGCGTTGAGGTGACACACGGGAGGGGATAGGGGTGGAGAGGACTCTTTCACAGTTCCACTTTGTTGTTGTTGGGTGTTTTTAAAGGAAAATATAATAAAAATGACTGTACCTTTTTTTTTATTGTTTTTTATATATATCTTTCATGCCATATTCCCATGGCTAACGTTATAGTTATTGTTATTCCATAACTTCAGTTCCATTGCTATAGTTTCTGTAGTCTGGTGGCCAGTTAGTATATGAAAAGAAAGAAGAACAAAAATATTATATTCGTCCCATCACGGACTGGTAGAGCTGGGACACCAGGTGGGTGCAATAATGGTCAAGTAGAACAGAAAAACAACAGTACTCGGAAACAGTCTGCTGTAGAACTCGACGCTGTGTCAGACGCGAACTCTCTTAGTAGTGAACCGGACTATGACGTAACTTTTACCTTCTAGCCATGGCTTGATTCGGAGAGGATGGAGGACGGTCCCCCCCCCCCCCTTTAAAACCTATGGGTAAAATGAATGCCGAAAATAAGGTCTGTGGTAAACACAGGTTTAGGAGATTTTATACGTTTTGTTCTATGAGTTTATCTTCATCAGCTAACGTCAGTTTGTGCATTTTAAAGAATGTATGTAAAAAAAAAAAAAAAAAAGCACAAAGGCTTCATAATTCATTAAGGTCATGTTAACTGACTGCTATTATCTCATAGAACAAAACGTATAAAATCTCCTAAACCTGTGTTAACCTCAGACCTTATTTTTGGCGTTTATTCCAAAACCCTATCCTTTCCCCATTCATTTTTACCATAGGAATGGCTGAACGAACCAGAGGTAATTTATTTCCGGGTTTTAGGACTACCAACCGAAGGTGAACGGTAATGGCGTTTCCATGGTATTCGAGGAAAAGCATGCAAAGCAAACACGGTCTTTGGCTAAAGCTAGCTAATGAGCTAGAAGCGTGGCTAGAAGACGGTGGCTACTCAATACTTCGACCGACCCGTAAAAAAAAGGTAACATACGTTGTTTTTTTTTCTAGTAGTAAAAGCAAACTTCAGCGCCGATGACAGTGTTGAACAATACTGTTAGCTTTTCTCATAGGCACATGCTAATTAGCTAGCTAGCTAACGTTAGCATGCTTGCTATTTGTCTGGGTCCCTAGCTAACGTTAGTTTTATAACACAGTATTGTATTTTACAAACGTTAACGTTACGCTACTTAACATTTTAGGTGAACTAGTTAGCTAGCTAATAGTAAATCTGTAAGAACTGAGGTTAGCTACCCAAGTGTTTGTTTGGCTCTCGCTTGGCTTTGATTCAGTTTCCTAGATCATATGATGTGAACAACAACACTTGTTGTTAGCCAGCTAAAATTAGCTTGGCATAACGTTAGCTAAGAAAGGATGGCAGCCAATAAACTACAACAGACGGCGAGCGGTGTTTATTACAGCCACTCCGCGACTAAAAATGCTTCCCAAATGGTACCCTATTCCCTGCATTGCACTACTTTTGACCAGAGCCCTACGGGCAATAGGATGCCATTTGGCACACAAAACTTTAATCTGTAATCCCTACCGTGACCTCTCCATGGCTTCCTGCCCATGTAACAGGTTTGGCACACACTACTCTGAGTTAACTAGTTAGTTACACAGCGCTTTGGCTCTTGACCAGAAGAACGGGAGGACAGAAGGGAGAATGGTTAGTTATCTTTAGCTCTGAAATACTATCAGACATTTTATCATTCTTTTAAATCATAAGGCAGAATCCTTTTCCAAACCTAGAGCAATACTTCTAAACAACTCTTTACTTATTTTTATTTTTTTCTCTTTCAGGGAGGACTAGACTAGCTAGATGAGAAGATCACGATGAAGCTGAGAACCTGTCTTGTTGCTCATCTCAAAGTGACTCCAGTCCCATCTGTTCAGTTTGGCTACCAGCAGATTTAGGACTGGCATGCTCTCTGCCTGGATGACAAGCACACAGCCTATGTCCCTGAACACTGGTGAAATGCACAGGAGCTAAGAAGAAGGAAGGACCTTTGAGGGGAGATGTTACATTTCCTGCTTTGACAGAACATGGATTTGACTGTAATTAGGAGTTGGATGAATGTTTTTTTTTTTTTTATACTGAATGAAGGAGATCTAAAGGCATCTAAACATCAATGGATTGTGGTTGGTCTGTTGGGTGTTGACTGGAAACGAAAGTGAAGGTGGTGACCAGGCTCAAGGTGGGGAGGCAGGTAGCCTGAAGGGCTAGCAACCGGAGGTCCAACGGACTGAAATTCAGAGGCCTATACTACGTACGTGGTTTGAGGAGTTAGCGAGGTAACTATGGTGAACTCTGAGTTCAACTCGGAATAACCGGTACCACAAAAGTGACTCACCTTTTTAGCCAGGTACATTTCTATGTCAACGAGTCCTTTAGCGCTAAACTGCTCCCGGGCTAACTCCATTTATCCTGAATGAAGTGTCTAAGCCACGATTTGAGGCTCATCCCCTTCATTTGAGGAAGACAACTGATTTTAAATATTTTATTAATCAAATGTTTTTTGTTGTTGTGGTAAATAAATATTAATGCATTTGATGCATTAATAAAATGCATTTGAAACTTCATGCACAGTAAAACTGGTGTATGACTTAATACAGTTGTGATATCGATTGGAGTGGGGGGGAAAAAAGGTGCTTGTGCAATGATAAGCACATCACAGAAGCACACCAAAGACGGCATTAACGATAAGTAATAAAATAAAGACGTGGCACTGTCTCTCCCATGGATTGATGTTTCAGCGTTGTCTCAATGATGAGTTCGGTGTTCGACTAGCAGCACTGACTCTCCCATGGATTGATGTTTCAGCATCGTCTCAATGATGAGTTCGGTGTTTGACTAGCAGCACTGACTCTCCCATGGATTGATGTTTCAGCATTGTCTCAATGAAGAGTGCGGTGTTCGACTAGCCGCTCACGCAGTTAGAAGCCTGCTAGAGTTAGCCGCAGGCGGACGAGCAATATCCACCGTCGTGGTACGGATGAAGCCTGAGCTAGAATGTGAAGCCAACTGAAGCTGGCTAGTTTTAGAAACCCTGAGTAGCTGTAGCTTCAGTCGTAGTATCCCCTCAGATAGCTGTAGATTCAGTCGTAGTATCCCCTCAGATAGCTGTAGCTTCAGTCGTAGTATCCCCTCAGATAGCTGTAGCTTCAGTCGTAGTATCCCCTCAGATAGCTGTAGCTTCAGTCGTTGTATCCCCTCAGATAGCTGTAGATTCAGTCGTAGTATCCCCTCAGATAGCTGTAGATTCAGTCGTTGTATCCCCTCAGATAGCTGTAGATTCAGTCGTAGTATCCCCTCAGATAGCTGTAGCTTCAGTCGTAGTATCCCCTCAGATAGCTGTAGCTTCAGTCGTAGTATCCCCTCAGATAGCTGTAGCTTCAGTCGTTGTATCCCCTCAGATAGCTGTAGATTCAGTCGTAGTATCCCCTCAGATAGCTGTAGATTCAGTCGTTGTATCCCCTCAGATAGCTGTAGCTTCCGTCGTAGTATCCCCTCAGATATCTGTAGATTCCGTCGTAGTATCCCCTCAGATAGCTGTAGATTCAGTCGTAGTATCCCCTCAGATAGCTGTAGATTCAGTCGTTGTATCCCCTCAGATAGCTGTAGCTTCAGTCGTAGTATCCCCTCAGATAGCTGTAGATTCAGTCGTAGTATCCCCTCAGATAGCTGTAGCTTCAGTCGTAGTATCCCCTCAGATAGCTGTAGCTTCAGTCGTAGTATCCCCTCAGATAGCTGTAGCTTCAGTCGTAGTATCCCCTCAGATAGCTGTAGATTCAGTCGTAGTATCCCCTCAGATAGCTGTAGATTCAGTCGTAGTATCCCCTCAGATAGCTGTAGATTCAGTCGTAGTATCCCCTCAGATAGCTGTAGATTCAGTCGTAGTATCCCCTCAGATAGCTGTAGATTCAGTCGTAGTATCCCCTCAGATAGCTGTAGCTTCAGTCGTAGTATCCCCTCAGATAGCTGTAGCTTCAGTCGTAGTATCCCCTCAGATAGCTGTAGCTTCAGTCGTAGTATCCCCTCAGATAGCTGTAGCTTCAGTCGTAGTATCCCCTCAGATAGCTGTAGCTTCAGTCGTAGTATCCCCTCAGATAGCTGTAGCTTCAGTCGTAGTATCCCCTCAGATAGCTGTGTCACTACAGGCCACCTGTGTGTAGCCAGAGAGCAAAACAGGCAGCCCAATTCTAATATTTGTAACAATCATTTGTCTTTTGATATTTTTCAGAGCTGATCTGATTGGTTAAAATATCAGAATTGGTCTATCTGTAAACACAGCCGGAGACGGAGGAGCAGGAGTCAGAGGCTGTGAATGTGTGAAGCTCATCCCAGCTGTGTGTAGCTGTCCTTGGCTATGTAGCCAGACTTACCCCGCCAACATGCTCCAGACCAACAACTACTCGCTGGTCCTGCTGGTCCAGCTGGGTCTGCTGACCTATGACCTGTTTGTCAACTCCTTCAGTGAGCTGCTCAGGGCAGCGCCCGTCATCCAGCTAGTGCTGTTCATGTACGTACATTATTGTTTTTGTAGCTCATTAGATATTCAAATGTAAAAAAAAAAAAAAAAAAAATGTATTTAATAGCTAGTTATTTTTCTTACATTTGTTAAAGATGTTCTAACTGGGATTCTAACCATGATATAACCTGTGTGTCCCCCAGCATCCAGGACATCGCCATCCTGTTCAACGTGATCATCATTCTGCTGATGATGTTCAACACCTACGTGTTCCAGGTTGGCCTGGTCGCTCTGCTGCTGGAGAGGTTCAAATCCTTACTGATGCTGTCTGCCCTCTACCTCACCCTCAGCATCTCATTTCACTGCTGGATAGTGGTACGTGCAGACAAGGGCCTAGTAGTAGTAGTTTTGTTAAGTGAAAATATTCTACGTTAACTCTCCGCAGAAAAAGGCATTATACCCACCTGTAGAGTTGTAAACATTGATCATGTCTGATATGATCTTGTTTCTTATAGAACCTAAGATGGCTGGAATCCGATCGTTTCATCTGGACGGACGGCCTGCAAGTCCTCTTCGTCTTCCAGAGGGTTGGTAAGTTCTCCTGAAGAAAGGAAAGCCCCCAACCCCCACACACACACTGCTCTTGCCGGTATGATTTAGGTTTATTCAGCCTTTATGTATCGGCCTGTTGGCTTTTTGAGGCTTTAATAAGTGATTGCTTCTTTTCACGAGATGTCTTAATTAACATACCGTTTGTCTGTTTTCTGACGTTTTCATGAGACATACTAGACTAAACAACATGCTGGTTTATTTTGTTGGAGGCGTTTAACTGTGTTCTCGTTACCCACAGCTGCAGTGTTGTTTTACTACTTATACAAGCGGACGGCAGAGTGTCTGGGCGACCCGCGGCTGTATCGGGATTCTGTCTGGCTGAGGGATGCCTTCGCCAGAGCTCGTCAGTGAGGAGGAGGAGGAAATGAAAGGAACAATTACACCACTAAGGATTTATTACCAGGCGAGGCCTGCCAGACTCTGTGGTGACGATCACTACCTGGGGGGCCAGACTCTGTGGTGACGATCACTACCTGGGGGGCCAGACTCTGTGGTGACGATCACTACCCGGGGGGCCAGACTCTGTGGTGACGATCACTACCTGGGGGGCCAGACTCTGTGGTGACGATCACTACCTGGGGGCCAGACTCTGTGATGACGATCACTACCTGGGGGCCAGACTCTGTGATGACGATCACTACCTGGGTGGGACTACCTGGCCATGTCCAATAAGAAATCACCATTATCGTTTTCCGTTTCAAAACGGTTTGCTATGGTCTGAACATGACTCTGGGCTAGGATGGAGCCAACGGAAAAGTGAGAAACTTCAATGGGTTCATACAGCAGGATGGACAGCGAAGATCATCAAGACAATGTACCACGAATATGGACTAGTGTTGTAACGAGGCAAACGTTGACTCAAGGACAATCTGATGCACAGAGACTTTCCTCCAATGGATTAACTTTTTTTTTTTTTACAGTACATACATAATGGCGGCTATTAATTTATGTCAAGTGTTTTTACTAAGATGGGATACCGACAGCATCCCAAATTGCACCATATTCCCTATATAGTGCACTAAATGGGGAATATAATGCAATTTGGGATGCACACCTGGTTCTGGAACAACAGTATATGGTTCTGAATAGAAGTTGTTACTGGTTCCCTCAGGTGAAAGAAGAAGTCCTGGGGCTCAAATCAATCCAGAAGGTCTGCGTTGTAGCGTGGTTAAAATATCAAGGTAATTTCCTTGGTGCTACAAGGGCGGCAGGTAGCTTAGTGGGTAAGAGCGCTGTGCCAGTAACCGAAAGCTCGCTGGTTCTAATCCCCGAGCCGACTAGGTGAAATATCTGTGAGAAATCTGTCGATGTGCCCTTAAGCAAGGCCCTAATTGCTCCTGTAAATCGCTCTGGATAAATAAAAAAAATCCTATTAAGACGATATATGCAGCGTTTACCGTGAATGAAGTCTCCGCTATAATGCTGATCTTCTGCGCTACAGATTGAATCGAGCCCCTGGTTCAGAGTGCCTTGTAGAGTAGATGTGCCGGTTACAAAATTGATGGGTATTCGTTTTTTTTAATACTGTAAAGTTCTAATTTTGTCAATCCAACACATTTTTATTGAATTTTTTTTTATGCCTGTTCTCCATGGATAAAATAAATAAATCTTAACTCATAAATCAGAAAATTCAAATGGTCAAACCATAAAGGAAAGTATCCCACTTACTAAAACTATACCCACAAACCAAGTTTAGCCACAAAATAACTAGCCTGAAATCCAGACCTATTTCTGTGCTAACATTCCACTCTTTGTATTCTGTGTCATATGCCAAACATGTCTGGCATATGACTCTTAGTAAAAGGAGTGGAATGTTAGCACAGAAATAGGTCTGGATTTCAGGCTACAAAATACCACTCAAGGTTACATACTGTAGATTACTCACTGGGCCCATGGCTGCTCTGTTCTGACCTCAGAGATTAATCTGGGATTACATACTTTAGGTTACATACTGTAGGTTACGCACTGGGCCAGATGATCGTGAGGGTATTATCGTGTAGACAGTGGCGGGTTAAACGTGACAGACCTCTTTGCGCTGTTCTTACCGCAGAGATGCATTTGGGGTTTAAGGCACCGCAGAATAACCTACCCTCCACAAATAGATCCCACTGCTCTGAAATAGCTTTCACTCCATCCCCTGGGCTATACATACTGCTGTGTGTCAAATCTAAATTTAGTGCATTTGCTCCAAATAAAGGACTGTGAAAGATAAAATAGGCTGAGAACCATAGGTTACAGATCTATCGTGGTTTTATGGTTAATCTAGGCCTGACCAGTCGCCACTTTTATGAATAAATTGCATTCTGTATATTTCCAGTTACACTAATTTACACTATCAAACCAGTTCCAAATAAACTGCAATCACTGACACACAGGCTTCAATACAATTTGGAGATTCTCATTTGGGCATAAGACCATCCTCTGTGCACTCTCCTCCGTTAGTTATCACTTCACACTGACACACAGGCTTCAATACAATGGGAGATTCTCATTTGGGCATAAGACCATCCTCTGTGCACTCTCCTCCGTTAGTTATCACTTTACACTTATTTTGGGATCCACCCCTGTAAACGTAATTTGCCTGATGACTCGCGAGTGGGGGGGGGAATAGTATTTTCCTACAAGCGCATTTGTTTCCACACTTCCTCGATTACATTTGATATTTTTTCCCCAAAGGAGGACGTAGGACTTAGCAAAGCCAATTGAGAATCTGCCATTGTAAATATAGTCAGAGGCGAATCGAGAGGATTAACTCTGCCCAAAAATACAGCGATAAGCAAACCCAAGTGGGGATTTCTTTTGTATGGAGGTCTAAGAGTGTTGAACTGTCATTGCTAATTTGTGTAAAGCTTATTTGATCGATAGAAGTTTTGTAACGTTTAGGTTGTTACAAATGTACTGATTTTAAGTGGATGCACGTGGCATTCCGGCAACTTTTGAGAAAAAAAAACGTTTATATCGCGAGTTGTCGTTCATACCAGACATTAAAACCAGTGTTCACACATACACACATATCTGCCCTCTCGTTGGCAAGAATGTTCCCACCTGATCTCTCCTACCTGCCTTCCACCTTTTGCAGACATGCATTTCGATTGTTAGAGCGGTCAGTCGACTCTCTTTGATTCGTACATTTTTGAAGGAGGAAACGTAGCACCACGTCAATTCTTTCTAGTTGGAAGTACAGTCCACTGACTCAATTCTAAACGGCTTCCTTTCCTGCCTCTCCTCACTGATTTGGACGGCCACTTGATGAAAGCAATAGGTTAGCAGCGTAAATCGTAAACACACAGAAGTCTAATTTCAAGATGCCTCTGGGTCAGCATGTTCAGTATATTATGGTTATGGGACAATCCTACTAAAACACCAAGTTGGTCCAGAAAAATGGTCACAATTTCACCAGAAATGATACACACTTGCAGTTTTGTACAAATGGCTCTTTTATTTATTGAAAGGCAACCCCAATCCACAGTCCCCAATCCACAGTCCCCAATCCACAGTCCCCAATCCACAGTCCCCAATCCACAGTCCCCAATCCACAGTCCCCAATCCACAGACACAGTCCCCAATCCACAGTCCCCCACCCTCTGGTCAGTGCAGTCCAATCCATAACCCACTTCATGTCCTTCTCCTGTTCCACTGGAATGTTCTTCTGTATCAATATCTGGCAATTTAACGATCTGTAACAAGACACACACACACACACAGGAAGAAAAGTCATGAAACACTATGATGAATGAGTGTGTTAACAGATATAACTTAAAAAAGGTAGATTTAGCAAAATGACATTAACCATCAGGGTGATTTTATGACAGGAACAAAGAGAGTACAAAGCAAGAGGCACAGCTTGTTGACGTTTGTTGTCACGCAGGTAACGCATCACCCGAGAGCCGCAATCCCAGTTGCCTACCTGTGTGCTTCTTGCAGCCTCTTGCGTCACACTCTCTCTTTGCTTGTGCCACCGTTTATGATAACGTCATATCCGCCGAGTCTCGTGTTTTAAATGGTTGTAATTTGTATTGTTGTTGCAAGTGTCCATTCCATTAGCCTGGACCCAGATCGGCATGGACCATAGCCTGGACCCAGATCGGCATGGACCATAGCCTGGACCCAGATCGGCATGGACCATAGCCTGGACCCAGATCGGCATGGACCATAGCCTGGACCCAGATCGGCATGGACCATAGCCTGGACCCAGATCGGCATGGACCATAGCCTGGACCCAGATCGGCATGGACCATAGCCTGGACCCAGATCGGCATGGACCATAGCCTGGACCCAGATCGGCATGGACCATCTTGCCAACTCCTATCGTCATTGTCAGATTCAGAAAACTTTAAGAGGCCATTAATTTTGCAGCAATCACAAACTAGGGGGGGGGGGGGGCTTAATCCACGTCATCAGCACCCGGGGAGCAGTAGTTGTTGGGGGTTAACGGCAGATTTTTTTCCCACCTTGACGTCTCGGGGATTCGAACCAGCCTTCCGGTTACTGTCCCAACGTTCTAACCGCTTGGCTACCTTTCGCTCCATTAAAACAGGAGTAAGACGGCAAGACGGCACACCGTATCAAATCTCCACCATCACTTCCTCACCTGTCAGACATAGATGCCGACCCACAGTAACAGAAACAGAACTCCAAAGCCCATGAAGAGAGACGCCACCAGGGAGATCAGCAGCTCTTTGTACACGTCCCTGGTGTATTTAGTGGACGTCACCTCGTAGCTGGGAGAGAGTTATGGTGCTAAACAACAGGTCATGTTATGTCTGGAATGTCATTTCTTTTGGACAAAAAAAAAAAAAAAGCGAATTCTGCATGAACCCATCTCTTGTTAAATACATTTAGTCTACTTCAGTCTTGTTTAGGATGTCAAATCTCAGTCAATCCATGCTGTGTATTCGGAAAGTATTCAGACCACTTGACTTTTCCCACTTTGTTACGTTACAGCCTTATTCGAAAAATGGATTAAAACAACAAAAAAGTCCTCAATCTACCAATCCCCATAATGACAAAGCAAAAACAGGTTTTCAGAAATTTTTGTAAATGTATTGAAAAACTGAAATATCACATTTACAAACGTATTCCAACCCTTTACTCAGTACTTTGTTGAAGCACCTGTGGCAGCGATTACAGCCTCGTATGACGCTACAAGCTTGGCACACCTGTATTTGGGGATTTTTTTCCCCTTCTTGGCAGATCCTCTCAAGCTCTGTCAGGTTGGATAGGGAGCGTCGCTGCACAGCTATTTTCAGGTCTCTCCAGAGATGTTCGATCGGGTTCTGGCTGGGCCACTCAAGGACATTCAGAGACTTGTCCCGAAGCCACTCCTGCGTTGTCTTGGCTGTGTGCTTAGGGTCGTTGTCCTGTTGGAAGGTGAACCTTCACCCCAGTCCGAGGTCCTGAGCACCTCTGGAGCAGGTTTTCATCAAGGATCTCTCTGTACTTTGCTCCGTTCATCTTTCCCCTCGATCCTGACTAGTCTACAAGTCCCTGCCGCTGAAACACATTCCCACAGCATGATGCTGCCACCACCATGCTTCACCATAGGGATGGTGCCAGGTTTCCTCCAGACGTGACGCTTGGCGTTCAGGCCAAAGAGTTCAATCTTGTTTCTCATGGTCTGAGAGTCCTTTAGGTGTCTTTTGGCAAACTCCAAGAGGGCTGTCATGTGCCTTTTACCGAGGAGTGGCTACCGTCTGGCCACTACCATAAAGGCCTGATTGGTGGAGTGCTGCAGAGATGGTTGTCCTTCTGGAAGGTTCTCCCATCTCCACAGAGGAACTATGGAGCTCTGTCAGTGACCATCGGGTTCTTGGTCACATCCCTGACCAAGGCTCTTCTCCCCTGATTGCTTAGTTTGGCCTGGTGACCAGCTTTAGGAAGAGTCTTGATGGTTCCAAACACATTTTTTGGTACCCTTCCCCGGATCTGTGCCTCGACAATACTGTCTCGGAGCGCTACGGACAATTATTTCGATGTCATGGCTTGGTTTTTGCTCTGACATGCACTGTCAACTGTGGGGCCTTTCCAAATCATGTCCAATCAATTGAGTTTACCACAGGTGGACTCCAAGTTGTAGAAACATCTCAAGGATGATCAATGGAAACAGGATGCACCTGAGCTCAATTTCGAGTCTCATAGCAGAAGGGTCTGAATACTTATGTAAATAAGGTATATCTGTTTCTTATTTGTAATACATTTGCAAAAATGTCTAAAAACCTGTTTTCGCTTTGTCATTATGGGGTATTGTGTGTGGATTGATAAGGGGGAGGGGGATAATGTAATCCATTTTAGAATAAGGCTGTAATTTAACAAAATACGCAAAAAGTGAACTGGTCTGAATACTTTCCAAATGCACAGTACACTATACTATAACTCAATGTGGTTTTATCAATGTTCTACACTCCTAAATCCTAACGACCCACTGGGCATATTAGTCGACATTGGTGCATTAGTACTGGGCTGGAACAGAAGCCTGCATACTCAGTCCCCACTCCCCTGGACAGGGTTTTCTAGAACACTGATTCACGGTCAAAATAAACATCACTGTAGACCCTTTTCCAGCGCACCACACACTGACGCGACTCTTGGTGGCAGTAAGAGCCATTGCCATCTGCGCCAATTCAACAGCCTAGATTTAAGTTACTTCTAAACAAAATTACTTTTTGGGGTTCTCATACACTTGCAATTATGTTTTGATTGTTGCTTGAACAGTGGCTAAGATTATATTTGGTTGTGATCTTTGCAAAATACCTATTTTAGGATGCAGCATGTGTTAGCTGGAATGCTAACGCTCATTGATATAGGCTGTAGCAAAAGCTAGCCAAAGAGCCCGTTTTTTTACTAGTTTAAGTGTAATGCAGTTGATTTGCGAGGATCACACAAACATATTAAGCAGGACATTCATACGAGGCTTTAAAATCCAATAATAATCCAAAAGTAGTGTGAAATGCACTCATAGGCAACATGTAAAAACATGTTCTCTGAGAACTCACACTTGTTCTGTTCGCAAACACAAAGAGGTCTATAAAAAAGATAGATGACCATGATTCACGGTCAAACTAAACGGTCACTATGAAGATAGATGACCATGGAAGGATACACAAAGAACCACGCAGTGAAGAACATCCCGATAGCCAGTAGGACCACCGTGAGGTGGGGGAAGACTGCCGGGTTCACCGGACTGGTGTATCTGGTCATCGCCTCCAGCTCCTGAGGGATGAAGAACGGAGACGATGTAGAGATCCACTCGGTGTGTGTTACTGCTTTAGGACATCAGGACAATATCCCACATTTCTAAATAGACAGGTGTGTTGCCAACTGTAAATAAAACTGTGTTTGGGATTAAAGTTACCAGCTACATAAATATAATGAACTAGTTACACATCAACCAGCTTATTGACTGACTATCATGACAGTTGATGAAGATCTCGTCTTGATTGGCATCGTCTGTGGAAGGCTGTATTGGGTGTTTGCTTGCTAGCTACCTACGCTTGATGTTTATTGCTCAGTTATTTTACATAGTTAGTTTCTGTATTCCCATCAAAACATACATTTACTGTTATTCGATTAAATTAACTGATAGCTACAAACATAAAGTCGAATGACAAGCTAACGTTGGCTAACAAGCTATCCATTGCAACACGGAAATGTCTAGCTTCAACCATTTTAATAAATTAACTGTCAGGTTTTAATTTAGACAAATGGCATTACGTAGCTATAATCAAGTTATTCTCAGAAAACTGTGCATTAGATCCAAAAGCCTTACCATTTCGTTGAGTTGTTGCTTGCTTGCTGCTACTGCAGAGTAAAAAGAGAAAAGAGCCACGTCAGTTCTCCAGAGGTTCTGAAACCAGCATAACAATACTTGGCCGCCACCTAGCGGGCTGGAGCAAAACCGTTTCGCGCTAAATCCATTTTATTGGCCACATGCGCCGAATACAACAGGTGTAGACGTTGCAGTTAAATGCTTACTTACAAGCCCTTAACCAACAATGCATTAATTTTTTTAAAGAAAAAAAGTAAAATAAAACGACAACAAAAAAGTGTTGAGAAAAAAAGAGCAGAAGTAAAAAAAAAAGAGGCTATATATACAGGGGGTAGTGGGATCTTATCTTAAAGTTAATCTATAAAATATCTATGTTCCCTAAATGTAGGTCTGGCTGTGTTATTCTCGCAAAGAGCTGTCTCTCTCTCGCTCTCTCTCTCTCTCTCTCTCTCTCTCTCTCCGCCTCTCTCGCGCGTCGTCTCTCTCTCTCTCTGCTCTCGCCTCTCTCTATGCTCTCTCTCTCTCTCTCTCCTCTCATCTCTCTCTCCTCTCTCTCTCAATTCAATTTCAATTCAATTTAGGGCTTTATGGACATGGGAACGTGGTGTTAACATGCCAAGCAGGGAAGTAGATAATCAAACAAAGTGAAATAAACAATAAATATTAACAGTAAACATTACACTCAGAAGTTTCCAAAAGAATAAAGAAATTTTCAAATGTCATTTATGCATATATACAGTGTTGTAAACAATGTGCAAAATAGTTAAAGTACAAATGGGAAAATAAATAAACATAAATATGGGTTGTATTTACCAATGGTGTTTGGTTCTTCACTGGTTGCCCCTTTTCTTGTGGCAAAACGGTCACAAATCTTGCAGCTGTGATGGCACACTGTGGTTTTTCACCCAGTAGATAAGGGAGTTTATCAAAATTGGGTTTTTGTTTTTCGAATTCTTTGTGGATCGCTTGCTATATCTGAGGGAAATATGTGTCTCTAATATGGTCATAACATTTGGCAGGAGGTTACGGAAGTGCAGCTCAGTTTCCACCTCATTTTGTGGGCAGTGTGGCACATAGCCTGTCTTCTCTTGGAGAGCCATGTCTACCTACAGCGGCCTTCTCAATAGCAAGGCTATGCTCACTGAGTCTGTACATAGTCAAAGCTTTCCTTAAGTTTGGGTCAGTCACAGTGGTCAGGTATTCTGCCACTGTGTACTCTCTGTTTAGGGCCAAATAGCGTTCTAGTTTAATTATTTCCAATGTGTCAAGTCATTCTCTTTTGTTTTCTCAGGATTTGGTTGGGTCTAATTGTGTTGCTGTCCTAGGGCTCTGTGGGGTCTGTTTGTGTTTGTGAACAGAGCCCCCAGGACCAGCTTGCTTAGGGGACTCTTCTCCAGGTTCATCTCTCTGTAGGTGAGGGCTTTGTTATGGAAGGTTTGGGAAAGTCCTTTTTAGTGGTTGTGAATTTGGAGGTTTTTTAATGGGGGTTTTCTTTTTGGTTTGTTTTTTGCGGGTATTGGCTCTGAAAGCAATTAATTTTTTT